TCCCTAAGTCGTCCATCAACTCATCATTCCCATTATTGCTCTTGAGGAGGGTTTTCTCAGAACTAGCCTGCTGTGATTTAGCGAAGAACTCCTCAATGACTTGAATGGTAATAAGGAAGGAGGGATCCTTGACTTTGTCTCTCAGCTCCAGCTTGATTTCCTTCTTCACAGAGGGGTTCATTTGAACTGGTTTCTTTGTTGATTTCATACTCAAACCTTTTTTCTTACTCTGGGGAGAAGGTCGTTCGGCTTCCTTTTTACGATAATGCTTCCTCACCGATGAAGGCTCTCTATTTGGATCAGAATTTTCTTTCATCGAGAGAAAGAGGGATGGGACGTTGACAACTTGTATGCGCGTGTTATTTGGGCCCATTACTTGAGTGACCATATCAGACAGGTCCAAAACTCCGATTTTGTTCTGTTGTGTCATTGTGGGCTTTTCCACTGATTGGTCTTGCTTGGAGGTAGAAGCATCAGAAGGCGCAACCGACCTCCAAACTTGGGAATTCGATTTCTACTGTGGACGCAGCGGATTAATCTCAATAAGAATTGATTTCCCTTTCTGTGTGTTACCGTTTTCTTTCATTTGATCTGTCTTTCCCTCTCCCTTTCCTCTTCCACTTGATTGCGTACCAACCATTGACTGTAGAGAATTTCCTTAGTTGGATTACTTAGCTGTATGTTTACCTGCTTGCTTTTGCCCGTTACTCTTGATTGCTTGATTCTGGTCACTATTTGGGGAAGGTTTTGTGATTCTCTTTCCGCGATTTGCGCACTACTTGCATCCAAGGACCGTATCCCGCCGGCGGCTCTGGCGGTGAAGGTTCCGGCGAAGCAGTCTGGGTACTGTTCTGAACGAGCACCATTGTTAGGGGGGAAGGTGATTTCAGTGAAGAAAAATTTTCTTTCGTGTGCCCGATACAACCACATTCGAAACAGATCCGCGGGAGGTTTTCATAAACGACTGCTTGCCATAAACCATCCAGATGAATCCGAGTGGGCAGGGGCTTGGTCATATCCAGTTCTACCGCCAGGCGGGCAAACTTGCCTCTCTCAAGTTGTTCAGTGTGATAATCTAATTTCATCGTTCGTCCAATGAGATTGGCTAGGGCGAAAAGAACCTCCCTGTGATAGAAGTGAACTGGCAATTCCGGGAGTTGGACCCAAGCAACAACTGTATTTTCTTAATTTATACAATTAAATAGAACCATTAGAGGTAAATAAGCTTAGATTAATATTATGTTTTCCTTTAGTAGACTTTTCATTGATGTTGTTAGCTTGTTATGCTTATGTAAAAAGGTTGATATACGTAAGAGATCAAATGAGAGTTGAGTTCGATCAGGAAGCTTTGGCCGAACTGCCGAAGTACAAGCTCAATTTTGAGGTACACTCAAGTCGTACACTCGTAATGAGTCAAATTTGAGTGTGTTTAGTTGAACTCACGAGTCAAACCGATAGAGCTCGAGATTAGAGCTCTATCGAGGGATTAGGGAATTGGGATCAATTAGGGATTGATCTAGGGATTTGGGAATTGAAAGGAAGGGTGAATTTAGGGGGTTTGATGGAAGAAGAAGGAAGGGGGAAGGAGGCTGCCGCGTGTCAGCAGGGAGGAAGGGGAAGAAGGCTCGACGGCCAATGAGAGGAGAGGGAAAGAGAGAGAACAAAGTAGGATTAGGTTTTAATCTTTGCTTACCCTCTTATACGTTTAAACAATCCTTTAAATACCTAAATATAATTGCCTATAACTCCCCCAACTTATCAAGTTCCAAAATATTCCATCATACCCAAAATAAACCCAAACAAAATAATTCAAACCGAACATAAAACCAAATAATTAAAATGTCTTGTTGGAGCTATGATTATGACAACGGAACCAAACTCGTTAACTTGAATCAATGTTCAAGCAAAACTCAAAGCAAAATAACATTTTACAGAAGCAAGCAAGCTCAAGCTAGACTTCAAACCGGATCCAAAATATCCACTCTATTGGATGAAGAGAGGAGGACGAATAATCTATCTATATCTATATCTATATCTATCTATCTATATCTATCTATCTATCTATCTATACTATATATTATGGCAATTCAAAAGCAATCTCTTGCCACATAAGCACTTGGAGTATCCACAATTTGCCAAGTTGGACAACTTTTTTACAAACAAAAAAATTAGTTATTAATGTATTTATGGAGCTACCTCTCTCTTCTATAATATTTTCATTTCTTTTATCCTTTTTTTTTGCTTTAATAATAAGTTACATGTTGATAAACTTAACCAAACACACATAAATAATAATTTTTTTGTCCAGTAAAAAAATATAAATAAGAAAACAGAAAGTAACGTATACCACATTTGTTTAAATAAAAAATATCTGATTAAATCTTATGAAGTAAATTTTTTACTCATTTTTACTAAAATTGAATGATAAGTTACATTTTGATGAAAAAATTATACAAACATACACATAAAAAATAATATTTTTTTTATTAAACAAAATTTATATGAAAAGAGAGAAAATAAACATTTGACATTCAAATAACTATGAACAATAAAGTATATTACAGTATATTTTGTTGCAATGAAACACTCTCTTATTCGTAATTTATATGTGTATAAAATAATAAAATTATTATTTAGCAAAATGTCAGAGTATAATCTTGATCGAGTAGTTATAGTTATTTATTTAAAAAAGACTTCTTATTCCTCATATCATGTTCTACCTTAAACTCCTCAAATGAAGAAAACTCGCATGTGCAATAATTTTATAATGTGTCCAAAGTTCACATTAATAATATTTGTTCTATATCATGTTGATTGAGCAAACTCTATTGAGATCCTAAGTCGTATGCTAAGAAATTTTCTTTCAGACTTGGGGTTATCGTCAACGATTATAAATCAAAATTTTCAAAATGACTTAAGTATAATTGTTGACGAACTTTGACTTCATACCCTAGGATGAGACACAAGATTTCTTGAAAAATAACATAAAGGAAGATTAGAGAATCTTTGTTGGGAATCTACGATAAACATCGTGTTTCATCAACTACTAACCTAGACATTTACCAAATAAAGGTTGACAATTTTTAGTAAGATAGTCAATTGGGAACATATTTATCCAGCAATCAAGTATCTTTATCCAATAATCTCAACTCTCAAAATTGGTTGCCAGTTCGTCTAAACTCGAGAAACACGAATTGATATATGTTGTATAGATAATAAGTTAATGCAAATAATCAAATAAAATTCACCGATATTGTTCAAATGATAAGACATTTTAAATGCACTTGAAATATGTGTGTATTGTAGACACTCTTTATCAAATATTAATATATAAGTGATATAATCTTTGAAAATTACACATTCAACGACCATGTTAAGACCAAAATCCTCGATAGTGTGTGCGAATGTCTTAGATCGAGATTCTAAGCCAACATATAAACAATGACCACGGGTTGAAGTTTCATCTAAACTTCAAAAATTAACAATTGATACATATTGTATAATATACTAAATTTAAGTGTCTTGATAAAAAAAACACTAAAATCCAAAATGAAAATGAGCCGAGATTATAGAATTTAATTATCACGAGGACTGCGGTATGTGTCAAGTTTCAATATGGATGAATAAATTGATCCAATAATGAAGTATCTTTACTAAGAATTTCTCACTAAAAAGTCCTAATCTTTACAACATTGGTCGAGAGTTCGTCCAAACTTGAGGATCATGATTGTGTATTGGATTTCCAAAGGACCTAAAATCTCAATCCCTTTCGGGGGCTAAATACCTCTGATCACAACCATAGGTGCCAAAGAAGAATGAAAAGAAGCCCAAAAAATCAAAAAAGAACATAACCTCCGAAGTCGTGTACCAAAAATCTGCCACCCAGTATAATGTACCAACGCCTGTATTTGACGGACGCGATACGATGAATAGAATAAAATCATGTCGAGCTATGATCCTGCCATCCCTACCTTTATTCTCCATAAAGGGGGCGGCGGGAGAGGATAAGAAATAAATAGCAGGATCTTAGGATTTGCCTCTTTATATATTACATATCACACGATAGACAACCCCAATGGTTGTCTGACGTTATGGGGGTAAAGCGGGATCTCTATCTCGAGGGTGAGGGATAGGCAAGTAGCACTTTTAATATGAGTATTAGGCGAGATAAGATAGGTCTGACAAAGTATCTGGATAATTTTGAGTCTACTATATATATATATATACACACATATATACATATATATAATATCAAGGTATACTATCTTTTGATTTTACTCAAGATACGATAGAAGATAGGTATGACAAAGTATTTGCATAAATTAGAGGTTAGAGAATTAGAGATTGGAGTTTACCTATTAGAGGTTAGGGTATAGTATCATGCCCCAAAAAACTCTGGAGTCTAAATAGTAAAACTCAATGGTCTTATGGTAGTGTGAACGCAAGAGTATAGCGTACTCCAGGCGCACGCTAGCTTGAACTATATATATACATATGTGTGTGGTTCATGTTGGCATACGCTAAATATTAGTGCTTTGGTTGACAAATTTTGACATAAGTTCTAAATGGGACGTGACAGCGGCATAATTTATGATTAGAAAACCAAAGCATCATAAGTGAGTGTACTAAATATTGGAAATTTCCAATATAGACATACTACAAACTCTTTTATGAATCAAGAACACAAAATATTTAGAAGATCCAAAATTATTTAAACATATAAATAAGTTAATTAATATAAATTATGAATAAATCTCTTCGGCCAACGGCCGGGTAAAAAGCTAGTTTACCTTTGGAGGCGAATTGAAAGGTGTACGGTACTTTTGGGAAAACAATACCTGGGCCCTTCTAAGCCCGTTTTTACTTTTCAGATAGCAAACCTTTTCTTCCGGGATTCCTATCAAGTGCTCGGACCAGAGTTTTAAGCCCAAGTCCAGAGCTCATACCTCGGCTTCAGAGTCCGAATCATACTTTGGGAAAAGGCAGCGAGTCAGTGACAGAAGGGAGAAGAGAAGGGATCAGTGTTCATTGGGGGAACGGAGATGGACGTCCGAGCTTCCGATACTGGAATGGAGCTCCGGCAAATGGAAGAAGAATCCACCAGTGATGATTCTGTCGGTAAGCTATTTGATCCTCCTCCGTAGCACTTACTGCTCTAGGCTGTAGCTGAAGCTTCGTCGTCTCTCGCTGGTTCTTCAGTTTGCATTGCACAACTTTCTGCTTCATTTCTATGAACAGCTGGCGGAACATGAAGCCCAGCTTTGAATATTTTGCGATTAAGATTTCTTTCAATTCTCACTTCGGTGCTCTGAGACGCAGCTGTGTATTTTGTTTTTGTTTTTTTGCTAGTGTTCCTTGACGAGGGCAAACTGCTCGAAGTTATTGCTGAAGGCTCATTGACGTTTGAGGAATGGACTTCACTTATATCGTTGATTGAGAAGACTTACCCGGTAAACTTTCACCTACAATCTTAGCTTCTTGAAGATGTAAGTTATCTGTTTGAGAGGTCAATTAATGCCCGGGCTCTGGCTATTTGATGGATGATGGTGCAGGATGACATGGAGAAGTTATGCCTAGTGTATGATCCTTTCTTGTCTGAGTATCCTTTGTGCCATGTTTACTGGAGAAAGTACGTCAACCACACCATCAAGTTGTGCTCCCCTGAAAAGGTTGTTGAAGTTTTCGAGCGGGCTGTGGAATCAGCTATGTATTGTGTTGATATTTGGGTTGATTATTGCACCTTTGGCTGTATGGCCTTTGATGATCCATCTGATTCTCGAAGGTAATAATTTCACACTTTCTGGAGAAAAATAGCAGGGGAAAAATAGTGCATTTCGTGTTTAAAACACGTGGCCGTTGGGAATGAGGTGATGATGCCTGGTTAGTTTTTGCAAGAATCTGTTATATGTCTCTAGAAACGTCCTTATTTGTTTCGCCAAGTGAAAGTGAAGGATCCGGTGGTAGCTAGGATGGGATTGAAATGGTGTCACTTGTTAGTAACTCTCTGTTTGAAGTAAAATGGTTTGCTGTAGATTGACACTTACTAATCTGTCTAGATTTTCATGATGTTGGAAATATATTTCACTGCATATTTTGTTTTTATGCGGGTAGTGGTGAACTATGGCATGTGTTTGAACAACTATTTATGTTCGGTAGCTTGATGTTTGTTAACACCAACATTTTATGTGCAATTGACTGAAACCTGCTCCTGAAGCAGAATGATGGATAAGCATTCTAGGTTATACCTGGTTTCGCAGCTTCTTATAATGTGTTCTTGTTTGACGATTCCAGAACCTTGACATTGAAATTGAATTTATGGTTCTTTCTTCTACCAGATTGTTCAAAAGAGCCATATCCTTTGTGGGAAAGGATTATCTGTGTCATACGTTGTGGGATAAGTACGTAGAATTTGAGTTCTCCCAGCAGCAGTGGAGTTTTCTAGCTGAAATTTACATCCAAACACTGAGGTTTCCTACCAAAAAGTTGCCTGAGTATTATGATAGGTATGGCTATTGCTGCAAAGTTATATTCTACAGTTGTTTTTCAGTCTGCAAAAGAGAAATAGAGAATCATGAATATGCACACCTTTACGACCTACTAGATCAACACCTAGGTCCGAGAGAGGTGCAATCTTGACAAAAGAAATTTCTTTTTGAAAATGATTTAAGATTTAATAGCTCACTGTGTATGTGAAAGCTTTTCGATGCAATTCGCACTGGAGTGCTTTCTGGCGTGCTCTCAGTTTCTTAGTTGCATATTAATTTGTATAAACCAGTTCCTTGTATGTTTAGTGATATTTCACTGCTGCAGTTACAATTTTCATCGAGGTTAATGCTTCTGATGTTGCAAACTCCTGCCATTCTATTCTTGCTGTCTTTAAGTCCTCTCTCTCTCTATATATATTTCTTAGGTCAGCTCTATCTTTTGTTCAAATCATGCAGCTTTAAGAAGTTGGTAGGAGTTTTCAGAGATGAAATGGAATCCCAGAGCAAAGCCAACGTGGAAGAGCCAGTTGAATCTATGCTTAGCGCTGAAGTTCCAATCAGCTATAAGCAAGATGAAGTTTCTGGTATCATCAGAGACTTGCTCGATCCATCCTCTACTGCAGCTGGGATTATAGCTCTGCAGAAATATATAGCTATTGGAGAGCATTCCTATCTAGAATCATGTCTGTTGAATGCAAAAATAATTTGCTTTGAGGCTCATATCAATAGGTCCTATTTTCATGTGAAACCTCTAGAAGTCAGCGAGCTAGAGAATTGGCATCGGTATTTGGATTTTGCTGACTCACATGGAGATTTTGACTGGGTATAACTTTCAAAATTCTGTTTTGATTCAGAGTTCTTTTTTCCCCCTTTCCTCTGTGCACTCCCCCATCTCCGTCTCTCACAAATTTGAAATTCAATTTCAATGATGATAGGCTTTAAAACTTTATCAAAGGTGCTTAATTCCTTGTGCCAATTACCCTGAGTTATGGGTACGATATGTGGAATTCTTGGAAAGGAAAGGTGGCAAAGAACTAGCTGACTTTGCTCTGCACAGAGCTACAAAAACCTTTCTTAAGGTATATTTTATTGCACTTATTGTTTTCTAACTACAATACATTCTTTTGGCGACTATATGTTGTTTCAATTCTTGGTTATTCTAGCATAAATTTGATCGCCGTAGGATGCTTTGTCTTCATTCATTCATAGTTGACATAGATGTACTTTTGCTGTTTCAAATGTTGATTTGCAGAGGGTTTCGTTGATGCATCTTTTCAATGCCCGTTTTAAAGAGTATCGAGGAGATGTCTCAAGTGCACGAGCTGCCTTTCTTGCATGCGATGCAGAATCAGATTTTGTTGAAAATGTCATCAGGAAAGCTAACATGGAAAGGCGCCTTGTATGTAATCTAATTATCTCGTTTGTCTCCCCCACCCCCCAAAAGAGAGGAAAAAAAGTGTAGAATGAAACGTACCAATACAGAGTACTTTCACGTATCTTTTGTACTCTGGAACTGGATTGCTGATGTTTTGCCAGAATGTCAGGGAAATTTCAAAAATGCTGCCAAAACTTGCAAGCAAGCATTAGAAGTGGCTGCAGCTAAGGGGAAACATGATGTACTTCCCCTCATATACATACACTTGTCAAGACTCAAATACTTGGTAAGTCTCTCGGTTTTCTGCAACGAAAATATGTGGTGGGTTTTCATAGAGCCTCTACACATCTGATTGTTAAACAATGTTGTCACACATTATCTGGGTGGGTCCATTCTCCAGGTTGAGGTTATATTTCGTTAGCAGTTTTGTGCTATCAGTTGAATATAGATTGGTACACTTTCATGGAGATATACTACCTAACCATTTATCCTTGACAGACCACTGGCAGTGAAGATGCTGCTGCAGATACTCTTGCAGATTCAATTAAACAAATTCCTTGTAGCAAGTTACTTATAGAGGTAATTGTCTTTCTCCTTCATAATATTAAGTTCAAATTAGTGACCAATGTTTGCAAGGAATAGTGATCTTGCATTACCCTCCACTTTTCTTTGCTTTATAACCAATTAATTAATATTACAGGTGTACAAAATCTAACACACTTGCAAGTTCGACCCACTTAATTGACTCATAAAATTCATGCAGGAATTAATAAAGTTTGCAATGGCACATAGAGGATCAAGACACATCAATGTCATCGGTTCAATTGTTGCTGATGCTGTATCTCCAAAGTCAGGCTCATCACAAGGCCTGAGCACAAAGGACGGAGAGGAAATATTTAGACTATATCTAGAGGTCTGTATTTTCTCTGATCTCATCTGTAGATCTCTCAGCACCTGTCTTGAACAAGGTGGCATCTGTATTACAGTTCACTGTTTTGGTTTTTTCGAACACCATATTTTCATTCTCAGAGACCAATACTTTATAAACTCCTGCAGTTTGTTGACCTTTGTGGAAATATCCATGATGTAAGGAAGGCGTGGGTTCAGCATGTCACACTGTTTCCTCATCTTTTGAGGACCCTTCCAGTTCAGGCTGAAAATGCCAGGCGATGGAAACTGGTTACGACGCAAATGGAAGAAATGGACAATCTGCTTCCTCACTGTTCTGAAGATCACAATTCCGATAGCAAGGTTCAGCCCTCATTTCCTGACCATGAACCTTCATCCTTGGAGAACCTTAATATAGAACCCTCCCTTCCCAATCCTAACCCAGTCCCTGAGCAAGCATCAACACTGGAAATGAATCATGACCTGGTACCTGACCAGGTAGCAGACCGGAATACTGCACTGCCGATAAACCAAAATGTGTTGTCTGATAGCACTACGCAAGTGGAGGTGTGCAAGACACCTCTTGAAGTTCCCGAGGAGCTCAAAGATAATGTCCCTGAACCAGATTCGGACGTTGGTCTCATAAATCAATGCTCCAATAAAATAACTGAAGATGAGGAAGTGCCAGCGGAATTGGTGAAAGAAAGTGTTCAAAAGCAAGAGTGCAGAGACCTATCTGAAGAGGACTCAAAGCCACTTCAGCTGGAGAAACTCTCCTTAGAGCCACAGCCGACTGGATCTCCCAGTTTACTAAATCATGATTCTGTCCCATCACCGAAATCTGATTCAGTCATTCCCACATCTCATGATTGTCAAAGCTCTCAAGAAACCAATTCAGTACATAGAACAATGCTGGTAAGTGCTGAAGGTGCTGATATTCATGATTTCTCATCTGCCCCCTTGAGTGCCAGTGCTGCTGTTTCCATTCAAGCCGATGTTGGATGGAATCCTAGTCCTTCATCATCAGCAGGCGAGCATAACAGTGCAACACAAGCAGCTAGGCCCCACATGATGGCAAATAGGGGGAAATATTGGCATCAAAGGAGCAACACAGAGAGACATAGCAGAGATTCCAGAACTGGATATCGTGGTCATCCACGTAGAAGGCTGGACAAGCATACAAAAGTTGATAGTGAACCTCAGCTGTCCAACAGCATGAGTGGTGGTTATTCCTCTCAGAATTTATCTTTGCAAAACCCACCACAAGGTCAACAAAACAACAGCCAAGCCCCAGCATCTAATGTTGTTGCTGTAGGAAATGGAGAACCCCAAGCCTGGAGTCAAAATAATCAAGCGTCATATGACCAGATGTGGCAGCAATACTATTATTACCACCAGCAGCAGTTGCTTTGGCTACAGCAGCAGCTGCAACAACAAGAAAACCAGCAGCAGCCCCAGCAGCTGCTGTACCTACAGCAGCAGTACCAGCATCAGGTGCTACAACTTCAGTATCTCCAGCAGCAACAGTCACTTACCCAACACCAGCAGCCGCAGCTAATGCAACAACAACAGCTACAGTTGCAGCAGCACCACCATCAGCAGCTACTCATGCAACAAGCGTACCAGTCGCAGCAGCAGCAGCAACAACCCTATAGTCAGCAACAATATCAGCTGCAGCAGCATCAACTTTATTCGTCACAACAGCAGCAGCAACAGATACCAGAAGGAGCTGTATCACAACAGCAGCCGCAACAGATACAAGAAGGAGCCGTCTCACAACAGCAGCACTATGTTCACGAGCATGGACAAGCTAACTTCACGCAAACTCAGTTTTACCCCCAGGTAAATAAAATTCTGAATCAAACCAGTTGATTGCTTCTAGTAGTGGTGAAGGCTCTCTCAGTATGTTTATAGGCAACTCCGAATCCTGTGTTAATTTAGCATGATCTTAGGTAAACCAACAAAGCAGAGCCTACTCAAGTTTATACCGACGTCTTTGTAACTATGCATGCACTTTCTTCTTCGTATCCAGTAGAGTCCACGCCTTCATGGTTACATATCTAAACCCAGTTTCTATAGCTTGCTACCATGTTGTACTGTCTTGGACTTGCGTTTTATGGTCTTGCTTTCTCATGGAGTGGTGTGATATGGATGACAAACTGCTGCCTGTGCACTTTAATTCTTTCTTTCATGACATGTGACTTACCTTGAGTTCGTTGAGATTCACTTTGGCCTTTCCATCCACCTTTTTTTTTCTTCTCTTTACACATCAATTCATTTCGATCTCCAGTGAACCTGACAAATGGTAGTTTTGCAGAGCTGGAGCACAGCAGGTGATGGTAATGTTGCAGCACCAGCAAGTGTCAGATCAACCGAGTCTACACACTCCCCGCAGCCATCCCCACCTAGTCAACAACTTGCTTGAGAGGGTATACACGTTGAGCCCTCGTGAACTTTCTTAGCCGATAATTCAAATAAGGAAGAGCTGTTGTTGAGATATAGTTTTTGTGTTAAGTTTGGTTGTTATTAGGGTATCTGCTCTAACAGCACAAATCTTAGTATACCATAGTGACGATGGATCAAACTCCATACAACAAACTGTTGGTGGGAACATATTAAATAAACGAGGACGTTGTCTTAGGGAACTTTTGGTTCTCGAACATCAGAGAACTACAGCATTTCGTCGAGCCAATGTTTTCTTTGGTAACCCCTTGTACTAGGTGGTCAGGGCAGTTGTTAGAGTATCTCTTAAGACCAATCACAAGCTTGGATTCATACATCTCTGACGGCTAATGGTGAATGTAATGTCTTAAGGAAGTCCTGATTACTAATGATTTTGTGCTGGATTATGAATTCTCTTCGTAAGAAGAAAAGCGCAAACCTTATGCAATGGAATGAAGAGTACGTATTGGTGGTGCTATTGCAACCTGAATTTAAAATTTCCAAGATGAAAAACAATGGATCCAAGCAAGGAACAAACATGTTTGTGACACGTAAAGCCCTCTTAATGCATTATGTTGATGTGGCGGGTTTTGGTTACGAACGGTGGTTAAACTCGAATCGTTGATCTTTGTATCATGGTCATCTAAGTAAACGAATCATTTCAAGCTACTAGCAACCGTGTCTACAACTTGATTCTCTATCTTCGGCGCAGTAAATTAGGTCATCCTAGCACTGCTAAACCTCAATTGTTGCAAAAATGTAATGAGCATCGCATGAGAGAAAGAGTTGAGCATTGTGAGGCCTATCATTGGTTTAAACATGAGACACTATCCTTTCTTATAAGTTCGAGTCTGGATGAGGTTGTTTTTGCCTTGATCTAAGTTGACATTAGTAGGCTAGTTGCAAGACTTTGGAGGGCCATCCTTACTTTTCGAACATTGAACAGAACAACCCTAAAATTGTTTGGGTCATCGTGAGAACCAAAATTCAAAAGCCATGAGCTTATTGCAATATTTTTCTTGTCATAAGATTATGAGAAGACTCAATAAACCCGAAAGGTCTGTTAGTTTTGTACAAATAACTCTCACTCATGAACCTAGAAATAACGAATTCCTAGCCTGGCCGCTTTCTGTCTCTAGGAAATGAAGTGAGATCTCAAGTTAGTGTTGTGGGGTTAGAAGGAGGGTTCGATGCTTGAGATGATTTGTACTCCGAACTTGTGATTATTGATTGATCCCACCATTGCAAAGTTCAATGGGAGAAAGGGTGGGATTCTATGTATTGGAGATTGAATGAAGAACATTGAACAATGCCCCTCTTTTTCATCAACGACTACGCTCAGTTCCGATAGCCGATAGGGGCGGCGTTCAACTCCCACCCTCTTCCTCTCCCTCAATCGTCCAACTTGGAAAATCATTTTCCAATTGCTGAAAAACTGTTTCTTTTCTTTTGCTTCTCAATTCCAAGAAAACTGAAAACCATCTCCCAGATCACTTTGGCAAGAAGCTACGATTCAGATTCCAGCAGGAGTCTGACCACCCAGAGCAATTTGGTTAACTGCAACGAAACCAAAACCACCCACCCAAGGCAGATTGGGAAGGCGTAATCAACCGCATTTCTTGATGCTGGTAACTAAAACCATAACCAGTTTCCACCCCAACCTCTAACTGCCAGGAGAAAATGAACTCCCTATCTGACACAATCATTTGCAAGCCCAGATCATAAAGGGAGATCTCATTCTACTTCCTTTGGATCATAACAGAGCAATACAAGTGGCAAATGACTTAATAATCAATCGCTAATAACAAGTCGATCGCCCACAGCAACTTCTGCATCAAAGACAGCATGCAGTGTTGCACATATTCACCAAACAAAACCCTAGAGCAGCATTTCATGCAAACCCATACTCAAAACTTTATCATATGAAAGAACAAAACAGCCCGAAAAAACACATAACTGCTAAAACACACTGTATATACAAAATTGTCGAAAATACTGGACAAGATAGTAAGTCGTACAGCACCTGAGCGACATCGCCCAGGCTGCTGGATGTTCTTACTCTTTTTAACAACTGCTACTGCTACTGCTACTGCTACTGCTACATCATTGTTTAAGAACAAAAGCGACCATATGGCATTATGGAAAAACTTATTACAAATTAGTAATGACCCCCAGTAAAAAAAATGGTCTTGTGGAACAGAACAAGCTATAGAATACCCTGAAGCAATTACTCGAGAAATTCAGAGGAAAAAAGGAAAAAATAGACATGTTAGGAGGAACAATCTGTTGATAAAAAAACACAATCTGTTGATCCAAAAAAGAGACGAAGTTGAGATCTTTAACGAAAATGGAACTGGTAAAACAAATATGAAACACTGCGTACCTACACATAAAGCCATTCCTCACAACACCTGCAGAGAAGGCATCATTACGTAGCAGCAGTGTAAAAAGGGAAGTAAAAAGAAGACATTTCACCATTTCAGCAAACAATTTCATTACTGGCAGGTTCTTATGATCCCCGATTTCAAAAACAGATCTTAGAGACTCCAAACTCCTTTGGTCAATTCAGGATACACCTTTAGCTTAAATTTTCTAGAAGTCACAACAATTCTAAGTTCTGAGCAATTTATTATCCATGTTAAGGAGGCTAACTCATGTTCCAAATGCAGATGCAAATAGCAGCAAGACAAAGCCTCCATCCACCTTAACAATTTGCAGGTTCATGAACTACATCGCTTTACTGAGTTATTGATTGCTGCTAGCCTGATACACATCCCCAGGGGGTCATGCTATTTTTGCTAGCATTAAAGATCTAAGGCTTAACTGGCTTCCATGTAAATCAACTATCATACAACTGAAATGAAACAATGGAGAGACCTCAACATTGAATTGTAGGCCACCACCAAGAAAGCATAAAGTAGTAAACTTTTCTTTGACATAATTGTTTATGTACACCTTCTCTATAAATTGAAACTTCAACTGTACAACAAAAGAGGATAGAGCGTCTCTACATCTACCTTTTGGAGAACTAGATGATGATTACCTGAAAGGACCTGTTGGCCCAAACAAAAAAGAAACAAGCAAGGCTCAACAACAAAACAAACTCTATCTTATTCTATAGTTACTTATTTGAAAAAAGAGAGGAGATTGACCATCCAAGATTAGAGACCATATTTGGAGGATAAAAAAGAGAACACGTAAGGGCAATGCACAATATCCAAGCTATTAAGGAAAAATAGCCCTTATTCCTTGTTACCGAATCTCCTTGCAATTATTGGGCGGACATCATCAGCATCAGCCAAGGTCTCTAAGAAGGGCAGTAATGATAGTAAAGCACAATCTGACGAATCGCTGAACCAACTCTTAATAGGAATCCCATTATTAACTTGCAACCTGAAAACCTGAAATCATTCAAGGACAGCAACAGTTAATCGGGATTGGAACTACAATGGCAAGCTTGTTTTCCAGTGTCTTTAAATGTTTTATGTATACTTCTTATGGGGAGAAGCAGTAAATCATGTCTTAGCCTTTGTACACATCCAACTCACACGATTCTATTTATTAATAGTATTCATCAGTAGTGTAAACAATAACCTCTTATGCTGCTTCCAAGTGTTTTAAGCATCTCAGATCTGCTTTTCAGGAGCTAAGCATGTCAAAGTCAAGCTACAAGTATGTAAACAGCAGACCAACTTATCATTCTTAATCCAAGGGGTGCAGAAGTTGAGATATATGACCAGACTTAAATGAAGAGTGACATGCAGGTATGTCAAATAAAAACATCTAGTAAGCAGTAGGATCACTGTACCTGTGGGGAATTATCAATTATGGCAACTTTGGCAAGATCAACACCTAACACTGTCAAATCTTTCGTATAAGTTCCATCTGAAAATATGCAAGACTCCCGATAAACCCGCCGAGATATGAGTTTCTTTTCAGTATCCAGTATGTCCAAAAGCTGTTCCGCATATATGCTTTGGCTTGCTGTAAAGATGACAATCTCAAACATCTCAGCAACTCTCTCCAGGAATGTATGGAGGTGAGGCCTCTTTTTTACATATACAGTGTGCTCTTTCATGTTGAAGAAGACAGTGAAAGTGAAGTCGGCATCCCCACAATGTTCCAGTGTAGAATGAACAAGTGTTTCTGGTCACAACAACAGAAGAGCCATTTCAGCACTTACTACTCCTTAGCAAGAATAAATTAAAAACAGAAACAAACTGATTGTAATTATTTGCATCTAATGCTCTACCCCAGATATGCAAAAATAAAAACCCCAGCTATAGTAAAGTGCATAAATGTCTTACCATCCAAGTCAAGTACTAATGTCACTGACTTCCTCCTTTGAGAATCTTTCGGGAACATGCTTGTCTGAAAATTTGATACCACCTCTGATAGTTCAGGTAGATTTCTGATAAAGTACTGGGGATCAAAATCATCTGCCTGATCAGAGTCGGCGATAGAATCACATTCCTGATTATAAGTTCTAATCTGGCTGATAGCTGGATATAAGCCAGCATCATCTGGGCCACCTTGAATGGCTTCTTCACCTGATTTCAGATCATTGGAATTTGTCAATTTGGCAGTATCCTCAAGAAAAGGGAGTATCATGCACTCCTGAGCCATATCAAACAACATACTTGGCTCAGCACATCTGTAATCAGGAAAAGGATCACTCTCACTGAGATGACTATCTATTGCATTCCCATCATAAGGTAGGCTAGAGATAATCATGTCGGAGATAGAGAAATCTGCTATGTTGCAGGTCTGATAATCAGATAAGCTTGTATTACCATCCCTTCCATCAGTTCCCAACCCTGAGATGATAAAATTACTTTTGGCCCCTGCAAAATGTATCGCAAGATAGTCAATTGGTATGAAGTAGAATGATCTAGTACAAAGATTCAAGTGGTCCATTGTCCTTCATAGATTCAGGCATCAACTTCAAAGCATCTGATCTAGTTAAAAACAGATAATAGACTTCGTGCAAAAAAAGGGGCAACGGATATCATGTGCAACATTTGTGAGTTAGATATAGACTATGATGTTCATCAGTACTTATCAGAAAACGGAACGTTATATAACAGAGGGGTTAGTTAGGGGTTAGTTGCAAGGTATGTGTTCAAGGAATAAAATGCTTTAGCATACCTGGATTCTCATCTATGTTGGGTATGTTGAATATACAAATGGGCTCCAAAGCCGGGGAAAAAATGGTTTCCAAGTCAGCTGTGCAGTTATGTGTAGAATCCTACAGTGCAGTACATTACAACAAATTAGCAACTAAAGCAATTGATCTCAGAAACAAAAAGAAAGAGCCACTAATGCGTTACATAAACTGATTGAGAAACGAGAACGCCAAAAATAACCCTAACTCAAGCAGTTAAACCATGTACCTGGCCAGCAATGATAAATTGTCAACATTAATAGTTTTAAATGCATAATAATTTGCTGTGCAAAATTCCATATTTATAATTCTATAATAGTCTACAAAGAAAAATTGACAGTTGTCTTCAAACCCTAGTCCAAACAAAGAACTAAAGACTGAACCATGAAGTTAAATAAAAAACAAACCTATCTCAAGCAGTTAAACCAAGTATCTGGACAGCAATGATAGAGAGCCAAAATTAAAAGTTTTAAATGCATAATAATTTTATGGGTAAAAATCCATACTAATAATTCTATAATAGTCTACAAAGAAATGTTGACAGTTGTCTTGAAACCCTAGTCCAAACAAAGAACTAAAGACTGAATCATGGAGCTCCCCAACCAGCCTGATCAAGGAAGAGGAACTACTAAAAATATTTTGAAAGGAGAAGTGAAGATATACGGATGAAACTTCAAGGGTGATCTATATGTTAAGTCCTCTTACAAGGAAGATACGTAAAAACACACAGCATAATAAACATCAAACATAAGGTTGAAAACACACTCAAACCATAGAAAGTAACTTGTGCTCCACATGTGAACAACAAAATAGCTAATAGATGAAACTGACAACAAGGAAAGAAACACATTCAATGACAAGCACCATGCAGAAGACTTACCATCTTCACAGTGGTTCCAGAATCTAGACTAGAATCATGTGTCTGAAAATGGGAGTTCCCTTGATTTGACAATTGTTGCTGATCAAGGACTTCAACACCGCCAGTTTCCGGAGAATGCATCTCCTCACTCGAAGAAACTGAAGAAAAAATAACATAACATAGTCATAAAAAAACTCCAACAGGATGACATGTTGAGCATTATTAAGAATTAAGGCCTTCCAAACATCTAAAGCAAACGACCTAGAATAATTGGAATTTGAAACAAATCATTTTGCAGCACAGAACGCAGTGAGGGAATAACACATCGTTAGTTTGACGCTCATTACTTTGAACCATAAAGACAAGATGCATGGACAAGAAATAAAAGATAACCTAGCTACGAGGCTACGTCATCCCACGTAACAATTTTGAAGCAACCTCCGCAATAATGTTATGAGTATGAACTAATAATGACAAAACCTAGTGTCCTTCAAGAATGGATTATACTCACCGCAATCATCTTGACATTTCTGAATACACAGGTCAGCCTCTAATAAAGGAGAAACCGCGTTGACATTAGCGCAAGATTTCTTGCATATAACACTGGACGTCTGACACACACCAAGACTTCTTTCCCCTAAAGAGCCCCCACTTAGTTTTGTCTTCATTTTCAATGATGGCATTTGATCTGTTCTGATTATATTTGCCACAATCTCGACTTGGAAACATCAATGGGAAGCAATCTCTCCCCTTTAGCAATCAAAGCACCCGCCCAGACTATAATATCCCAGAAAAAGAAATCATCAGAAAATCCATCCACGTGAACTCACAGGGGGGTAACTTATAAAACGTTTACAAACCAAGAACATTAATTCAACAATACTAAGCACAATTCAGTTAGCAGATACATTGTTCCAATGAGATCCTCCAAGTATATCATCAAGGATTTTTCATTTACAAGATCATCAAGAAATCAAGTAGACTCCAAATAAAACAAGCAAAATAAAAAGAGCATGATACAACCAGGTCCACTTTGTTACCATGCCAAACAAGGAACTGTGTAATGATAATCTTTGTAGCAGAAACGAACAGAGATTTAATGTAAACTGAAAACACAATTAGGCCTCCAATTGTCCAGCTAATTACAAAGTCAACCAACTCAGAAAGACTATCTCTTGCATGAAAAGGACTAAAATTGAGCAGACAACAGCTACAGAACTCGGTCAACATGTACTCTTTTCCTGTGAAATACAATGAATTCACAAGAACAAACAGATAGGCAATGAAGATTCCTATTTCTCTACAGAAGAACATTATAGAATGATCTTTGAAGACAATTACCATTTTACCAGAACAAGATCGAAATTAAGTTTTTTTTCAAGAAATACACGAGAAAGAGCCACCCGAAGAGAGATAGAGAGAGGAAGAGAAGATTCATATCTAAGCCAATCGTTAACCCAAAAACAGAAAACCCACTCCCAGCTCCTCAAATGAACAGAAAAAGGAACAGAAGTCAACAGTTCCCAGGTTGTCAAATTCAGAGCCACACAATTAGAAGACCCGAGGAAAGACAGCCCAATTACAACCAAGAACCACACAGCCCTCCAGAACCCAGAAAGAAAGCCTAATCCCCTACAAAGCCCCATAATCTAATAAACCCTAGACAACCAAAGGGCTGCTGAAATGACAGTTATACAGTTTCAACCATGAAACCGGGAAACAGGGAGCCGTAATAGAAAGCTTTCAAGGGGAAAGAAGAAAAGGGAAACAGAACCGAGATCAACAACAACAGTAGAAGAAGATGAAATTCCAACAAGGGGAACTAAGAAAAAAGGGTGGAAAGATTCGATTTTTCCAACAAGAATCCATATGGGTAGGCCGCAATACCTTGTGATGCCCCAAGGACTAAAAGGGAGAGCTTCCCTCTCTCTCTCTCTCTCTCTACAGGAATGAAGAGTTGTCTGTGTGTGTTATTGTGGGGTTTCTTCCATTCTCTCTCTATCTAAAGCTGTATGTATAAAAAGTTAAAAACAAAACAAAACAAATAAAAAAGACTTTGGTTTTCTTTCCTTAATAATTTCTTCTCCTTCTCTTCTTCTCCTTCTCCCCCTCGCTGTGTTAACTTCCACGAACGGTCATACAGTGGCAAAGTCGGCCTCCCGGCGGAAGCAGCGGACGGCTGGGATTCAATGATTTTTTACCTGTAGGAACTTGCCACGTGGATGTGTGACCAGCTCTGCCTGACGCGTTGACACGTGCTCTCGGGTAATGTAAATACGCAAACTTCAGCTCAAGCAGCAGGCAGGCGGAGAGGAGCGTGGGTTTCCACTCCCGATCGAGCGCGTCGACGGCAGCCAATCATTAGTGCGTGCCAGTTTTTTTTTTTTTTTCTGATTAGTTGATGGGCTGTTTTCTTTTATACCTGAAATAAAAACCAAACCCCAAATTTAGCAAAAGGAATGAACGTTATTAGTTAATAAACGGAAAAGGCTTTCATGTTCCATGTGAAGTATTTAGGGTTTTCATAGGAAGGACAAAGGGATTGTTTGGTAACTTGGTGGACAAGATTCTCTTGATGTCAAGATTTGAATGTTGGGAAAACTAACACAATTTCCACCGTATTCTGATTTCCTAACATGGTATCAGAGCCTGATTCAAAAACCTAGTCGGAAAACCTAAGCTTCCTTCCTGCCTCGTCGGCCGCCACCATGAGCCCTCATTCTCCCGTCTACACAGTCCTCGCATGTCATAAACCAGTTGATCCCAAAAGCTCGAGTTGTTGGGAGAGGTTCAATCATGGATCATATACCATTTACTAACACCCCCCCCCTTTCAAACTCAAACCATTCAGATAGGCTTGGAGTTTGAACAGGCACAAGTCCTGACACCGTATGCTTAACAGAAACAAATGGGGGTCACCGAGAATCGAACAGAAGACCTCACGGTAATAGAAGGCTCTGATACCATGTCATAAACCAGTTGATCCCAATAACTCGAGTTGTTGGGAGAGGTTCAATCGTGAATCATATACCACACACTAACATTGAACTCGCGTTGCTCGAGCAAGAAGGCGGGAAGACGGAAGTTTGAAGAAGTTCATTTTAGTTAAAATTATATCGTTTTGGTTAATTATTCTATTAGTCCTTTAGTTTTGTTTTGTGTCAAAGCAATCCAAGTCATCTCTTCATGGGTTAGAGCATCCACATAAAGCTTTCATATTGAATTGCAAAGTGATGTGGCAATTGAAATGCAATTGCATTTCCAATTGCATGGATATAAGTCTCAATTGGATTAATACAAACTTCATAAAATGCAATTTCATTTCCAATTTCTCTTTGTCTCTTTTATTTAATTTTTTCTATTTATTTTATTTTATGTATGGATAAATTAATAAACATATAAACCTTTTATTCTATAAAAAAAAATTACGCCCACATGCAATTGCAAGTTAATTGCATTGATGCTGGATAATGAAATTAAAGTGATGTGGATGGTAAAAGAGTTGGGTTGACAATAAGTAACACAAATGCAATTGATTTTTATTCATGAAATACTCAAGTAGATCTCTGCATCACTCATGAAATACTGAAGTCTAGTTTATTACTCTATAACACATATTTGCAGAATATCAACCAGCAAACATTTTCACTAAGGGGTCGTCTACGGGAATGATTCAGTTCTTAATAAAAAAGTTTAGGTGCATTGAATAGATGCATGCCAGTTTGAGGAGAGGTGTGAAGAAGATGAAGTTTGGATGAACAATAACAACCCAACTCTAGCAGCAATCCATATCTCTCTTCATCTTCGCACCGTTTCGCTTCAGACTCAACTCGTTTATCGTCAATACACAGTATGCAACACATGTACATGTTTGGTTGGTCCATTTGTAAAGATTAGTTAGTCGTTCTTTTGCTGTACAATTAGATTAGCAATAGCTCAGTGTAGTAGAGCCTCTCTTTCACAAACTGTACAAATTATACATTGTTGTTGTAGCTGAATGGAAAGGCCATTAAGCCAATTGCCCAAACATTATTGCTTCTCCCTTCTTCACCTTTGCTTAACAAAGATGAGTTTACAGGACTCAAAACATGCACAGTAACCGAATTCCTCTCCCAAAATCCCACAAGTCTTCAACGAACCTACTCCTACCACTGCCCCAACCTCCAAAGTATCAAATCTTACGAGAAAAGGAAAGGCTTACAATCCTGTACTACTAGGAATAACATCCAGTAACATACCTTGTTGGTCTTGACATATAGGATACAGACCGGAGCTGTTCACCGATAAGTCGGAGCTGTTCGTCACGATGACGAGATCCACGGGAGTCGGATAGTCCCGATTTCGTACCGACTTGAACAGCAGCACCGGGACGAAACGCAGCCACATGTGCATCGTGCGTACTTCTGTACCTTTACTCACCACAAACCCTACTTCGGAGATGATGTTCTCGCCGCCGCTACGAAAATGGAAGTCGAGACTCAGGTTGGCCCTGGCGGTGAAGCTTTCTACATTGAATGTAACCCATAGAGCCACGCCTTTGAGAGGATAGTCGTGGAACTCCGGGGGAAGCTCTACGACCGTTGTCATTGAATGCATGTGCTCATAACGACGCCACTCTTCCACGATTTTGCTTCCTGGAATGATGATGGACAGCTCGCTTACAGGGTGGGAAGGAGTCTGCAGTTCCATGTACCAAAAGCAAAGACAAAATTGGGATTGAATGTCATCATACTACGCACTACATTTCGAGCGAATACAATTCACTATTATCGATTGCAAACTATGTTAAGCAATAAGCATATCCATCTACTTTAGTAAAAGGAGCCAAACACACAACCTATGCAAAAGGATAGAAGAAAGATAAGTGAGAGTAAGGAAATTTGAGACCTGATGTGCGTGAGTTTTGATCAACTCAACAGCCACTTGAGCTTCGGTGTTAGCACCCAGTGCCAAGCAATTCATGAGGTTAATACCCCGCATTCTCGCCGACTCATTGCCCCCCGGTGGTTCCATCCAACCCAACGATTGACAGTTGGATGCTTCCAAGCAGTATGTAGCCGGCGGCAGGGCAGGTATGGAATAAAGGTTCTTGCAACTGGACACAATTAGAACTTGCAGGTTTCTGGGGAGTGCCCCATTGAACAACCTGGTGAAGTGATTTCCAGATAGATCCAACTTCGTCAGACATGCGAGCTGAGTGAGATCACATAAGAGATTTGGCAAGTTGCAGTAACTCAAATCCAGGCTCGTTAGTGAAGAAAGCATCTGGAAGACAGCGTAGTGGATAAAATGAGGACTTCCGACACTGGCGGAGGGTTCCACGACTGGGAAAGGATCCCGCCGAGGGGTTTGAATCAACGACAACGGACTCTTTCCAGATCTTCGAAGTGTAAAAACCTTCAGCTTCTCCAAATAACCACCACCTATCAGATGGCTCAGTTCGAGAGCCGTGCCTTCACCATGAAATTCCTCCAGATTTTCCAGCAAGCTCAACTCGAACTGCACCCGCCGGAGATTCTCGCAGCCTGTAAGGCGGAGAATCGTCAAGCCACGGCAATGCCCGACCCCCTCTGGGATAAATTCCAGGCGTTTACATCCTGTGACGCTCAGGGTGACAAGGCCGGTAAGCTTTTGAATTGACGCCGGTAACTCTGATATATCCGTGCCATCCAGAAGCAGCTCCGACAGGCGTCCCATATCGCCTTCCAACTCCGGGAACTTGTTTAGTTTCGAACACCCAGACAGTACGAGAGTCTCCAGAGATGTCATCCCGATGGTGGGCGGTAAATACAGCAAGCTTCTGCAACCTTTCAGATTCAAATAAGCTAGCTTTCTCAAGAACCCAACAGAAGGATGAACCTCGATTAGCTTCACGCAGCTCTCTAGAATTAGTATCTCAAGGTTCTGAACCCCCGAGAAATCTGGTAAGTGTGCCAGCTTCTGCGAGTAGCTGACTTTCATGTACTTCATTTTATCAAAAACCTGCAGTAATGTAAATGGAAGGTTAATGTCTAATCGCCGATACTTGGTTTAACACAAATGTTCAAGCGAGTTATTGATGTTCTTCTAGACAGCTAAAGTTGTACCTTGTTTCCTCTCCATAAATTCTTCAAGCTACTGAATGACAGGTTGAATTCCACGAGGTTGCGTGGGTAAAAGTTCGCAGGCAAGGACTCAAATGGATACCCGTGCCAGTGTAGGCTCCTCAGTTCATTTGAAAGAGCTGTCAACTTACTTGCCATATGCAACCTAGAAGAGCCTTCTGTTGTGGTGTCCATTACTCTAAGACTCTCCAACTTACGAACAAGAGGTTTGAACTTCCCAGAAAGCTGAGCATCATTTCCCCTGTTTTCATCCATGTCAAGGGATGGTTCTTTGTTGAGTACGTACTCAGAACCTCCAGAATGGTGAGGATAACAGACTTTAAGCAATCTGAGCCTATTCATCTTGTGGAAAGCTCCACCTTTGAGAGACATGTTTTCCTTAACTTTGGAAAGATCAAGGACAATGCTTTCAACATCTTTCGTACCCTGTACCAAGTAAGTACAAATTTAAATGCAGCCACCACTTCAGTATTACCGCTATGTGCAAAGCATACGGTAGGTAGGTTTGTAAAATTTAACGCCTAATACCAAAATAAGGCAAAATCTTATTTGCTTACCGTGTTTTGCACTAGTACATCGCACACATCCAGATGATTCCACAACCTGCTGCGCATTCCAACCTCATGCAAAGACTCTTGTCGGACAACTTCCCATGCCATCTGCTGCAACAGATCATGCATCCAGACTTTGTTGTCTTGGATGGTTATGAGAGATTTCAGGAGGAGGACTTTCAGTCCATAGCGTGCAGAGGAACCACAACCTTCTAGTATGCTCACAACATACTCCTCATCCTCCCCTTTAAAGAAACAAGCAACATCGAGGAATATGTTCTTCTCGGACCTATCAAGCACATCAAAGCTTTGTCTCAGGATCTGGACTATGTCCTGAGGTGGAAATTCTTCCAAGACCTTCAACTTGCTCTCCCAATCACCTCTGTCCATGTTGAACAAAGAAGATCCCAAAACTTGCAGAGCTAAAGGAAGACCACGAGCATAGTTCACAACAGTCCGAGACAATCCCATAAATTCCTGCATCCTCGAACGCTTCTTGAAAGCATGTTGGCAAAAGAGCTGAAGCGATTCCGACTCACTTAAAGGCTTAGCCTCATAAACTGAATCCACCTCATGTTGCTCCAGCAAGTGCTTATCTTTACTTGTGATGATGATTCTGCTCCCTGGTCCGAACCAATCGCGATCTCCTGCTAAGCTTGTCAATTGATTTACGTTAGAAACATCATCAAGAACAACAAGGATACATTTGTTGCGAAGCCTTCCCCTCATTAGTACATCCAAATTCTTGTCCAAAATCCTCAGACCATCTTCAGCAATCAAAGCAGAGAGGAGTTTTCTGCGCAGATGATCGAGGCCACGTTTCTCTGCAACATCTCTAACGTTCTTAAGAATGCAGCAAGCATCGAATTTATGAGAGATGTGGTGGTAAACAGCTTCGGCAAGAACGGATTTACCAATTCCTGCCATCCCCCAAATTCCAACCACTCTAACATCAACCAAACCTGTGCTTAGCAGCAACTCCACGTCCTTGATTCGTCGCTCAATTCCTACCAGTCCTGAAGGCTTGTTTGAGAATCGACGACCCAACTTGTTCACTACATCTTCCACAATCTCCTGAATAAGAGCTGGTTCCTCCCTAAGCAAACACAAAAGGATTGGAATCAACGCCTAACTTTGCAGTTCAGTTCTTGAATTTGGGTGCTGTTAAAGTAACAAAATCCGAATTGATGCTTACTTATGACGCGAGTCCCAGCCGCTTAATTCGGCGGCCTTCTTGAGAGCAGCCTTCCAATTCCGGAGCATTTCAGCATCATCGGGGAAATCCACCTCGTGTTGAGCAAACGAAGCCGCGTAACTGTTCCGGACCTCGCCGACATCCGATGGATCCACGCTGTAGAAGACCGGGATAACAGTGTGGCTCTTGTTCTCGTGCTCCATACACTGAATGATGATCTGGAGTTCTTCCAAGCACCATGGAGAGGAAGCATAATCTTTGGAGAAAACGACGATTGAAAACCTAGACAGTTCGATTACGCGGAGAATCTCCGGCGAAATCAGCTTGCCGCGCTCCAGCTTCTGGTCGTCCTTGAAAGTGCTGACCCCTTTCTCCTTGAGAGCGTTGTAGAGATGGCTGACGAAGCCGTAGCGAGTGTCGGATCCTCTGAAGCTCAGAAAGACGTCGTAGCGAAATTGAGAGGCCGGGGAGGAGGAGGAGGAGGAGGCTTGGCCGGCGGCGGCGGAGGACATGGTTGGTTGAAGCGATGCACTGTTCCAATTTCCTGAGTCAACTATTCCGATTCGAGCGCTGTACTGTGCTCCTCTGGGCTTCTGGGATCTAAGAACAAAGGTTGAGAAGCTTGCCTCAGCGATGACCGGAAGGCAGAGGGAGACGATTCATGGATTCGAGCACCACCGTCGCCGGCTGGATATCACAGATTATTAACAACTCTTGCTTGTTTTCTCACGAGGAGTGGGAATCAGAATTTAGAAACTCCCAAGCAATGAAGCAGACGACCTGAACCAGGCCATTTGGGGTAGGGGCGCGTTGTAGGAAAGTGCCAGGAAAGCGTTGAAAATGGGGGAAAGTCAATGGACGGTAAAAGACTTTCCCGGGTTTATTTGAAAAAAATATATATTTCTTTAATAATTTTTTACAAAATGTATTCAGAAATTATGGATTAATTAGATTTGAGAAACACGAATAGGGAAGTGGTGATCAAATAAGGTAACAACCAGGTTGAACAGAAAACCCTACAAGCTTGTTTCTCTTTCATTTCAACTCTGCCTTATATAGGCTGATTACAAATAAGAAGACAACCAGCCCCACAATCTTATTTGGTAGCTTGGACAGGAAACAAAAGCCCTTGTGCAGAAAGCAATGGGCAAAACGAAAGTCTAAAACGACAGCGTTCAACAACAACACAGAAATAGAGCAAAACGACAGCGTCGGGGGTAAGTGACTCGTGTGAGTCAAAACGGGACCACTTCAGCCTTCTTCTTCATTGATCAAGAGATAGCCGTTGAGTTTGAAATTGGGGATTGGGAAGATTGCAAATCTGCATTTGCTACCCCCCCCCCCCCCCCCGGCAAGTTGGTGGGCATAGATTATGCACACCAAGCTTAGAGAAAAGTAATTGAAATGGTGCAGGAGACAAGGGCTTGGTGAAAAGATCAGCTAATTGATGATTGGAAGAGACGTGGAGCAGTTTGACAACACCAGTTTGAAGCTTCTCACGCACGAGGTGGCAATCGAGCTCGATGTGCTTCGTGCACTCGTGGAACGTCGGATTCTGGGCGATGTATATGGCACTTTGATTATCGCAGAAGAGAGCAGCTGGCTTCGGATGGCCGATTTGGAATTCTTTCAACAGAAATAGCAACCATTGAATCTCGCAAGAGGTGTATGTCAGGGCCCTGTATCCAGCCTCACAAGACGAGCGGGAAACTGTCTTTTGCTTCTTGCTTTTCCACGAGATAAGAGAATCACCAAGGTAAACACAATAACCTGTGGTTGAGCGTCTTGTATCAATACATGCTGCCCAATCTGAGTCTGTGAATGCCTTCAACTGAAAAGAGCCTTTTGAAAGGAAGAAGAGCCCTGTGGCAGGAGCTGTCTTCAAGTAGCGTAGAACTCTTAGGACAACCTTGTAATGAACTGTACTAGGATTAGACATGAACTGGCTGAGTTGCTGAGTTGAAAAACTAATGTCAGGCCGAGTTGTAGTGAGGTAAATCAACTTGCCAACAAGAGTACGATAATGTTCTGGGTCTTCATAGGGTGTTTCAACCTGACCGGAGAGATGTATTTTGTAATCCATTGGAGTTGTAATACCCTTGGAATCCAGCAACTCAGCTTCTTCGAGAATTTCCAATGTGTACTTCCTTTGAGATAAATGAATTCCTTTGTTGTTTCTGGCCACTTCAATTCCCAAAAAGAACCTTAAATTGCCCAAATCTTTGATGTTGAACTCATGATGAAGGAACTTTTCAATCTTGTTATCTATGTGATGTCATTGCCTCCAACTAAGAGATCACCCACATAGATAAGGATGCAAGTATAGGATGAATCTGTTACCCTGAAAAACAAAGAGTGATCTGCCATGCTTTGAATGTAACCAAGTGTTTGAATCTTGCCTGTGAGCTTAGAAAACCACTGACGTGAAGCTTGTTTCAAACCATAGAGTGATTTCTTTAATCTGCAGACTGGTTTGTCAAAACCTGGTGGTGGATCATATCCTTTTGGCAATGTCATGTAGACTTCCTCTTGGAGATCTCCATGGAGGAAAGCATTGTTAACATCTAACTGGTGGATGTGCCAGTTTCTAAGAGAAGCAATTGCTAGAAATGTTCTCACAGTAGTCATTTTGATCACTGGTGCAAATGTATCCTGGAAATCCACCCCTTCCTGTTGTGAGTTGCCTTTGGCAACAAGTCTAGCTCGAAGTCTATCTAAGCTTCCATCAGATTCAAATTTGGTCTTGTAGACCCATTTGTTCCCAATAGGCTTTTTACCAACAGGCAAATTCACCACATCCCATGTCTGATTTTGAATTAAGGCATTGATTTCATGCTGCAGATGACTCACTCCTACTGTCACTCTAGAAAATGGCCAAGTGTAACCACTTCCTAAAGCGTAGTATAGCGGGTTTGGGTTTTAATGTCAACCCGGGTCCTAGATTTGATGACTACTCGGTGAATTCTTGTTATCTAGCAGTGAAACTTTAGTGCATGTCCAAATTAACAAACAAACAAAGCAAGTTAACGGTTGTTTTCAAGTCGAGAGAGGTCACCCGGATATGGTTCCCCCTAGACTGCAGTTAAGCCGGATTGCAATTTACCAAGTTCAGTTTTTATGAAAGTTATACTGCGGAAGGTTCTTAAACAGTCTGAAGTCTCGACTAAAGGTCTCCAGACCCTCTCAATCTGAGTCTCCAGCGGGCGACTAACCTCCACCGGAGTAAACAGATTGAGGCCCTAACGAACCAAACCTCCACTACCGAATTGAATTCGGTACATAATAGCGAATTGGCTCCTCGACTAAAGTCGCCAATTCACTACCTTCAATTAAGGATGCTCTATCAACCTAGGAAGATATTCTCATTCTAGGTTAAAGACGAAACAACAGGAATTTGATCAGGATTCAAGTCATTCAATCATTCAAGCCTCAATCGAATATAATCAAATCATAAACTCTGTACTTAGGTTCATACAATCAGACCTAACATACAAATCTAGGGTTCCCCATACCCAGATGAATGGGGAAACTACTCCATGGAGAGAGAAGCAAAAGCAGATTCAGACGCGGAAATCATACTGTGAAGGATGAGTTTCTGCTCCTGGTTGTCAATCGGTACTTCTCCAAGCTCAAGCCGGGCTCCAATGGTGATGAAGATCAAGCTATGGCACTTGGGAACTCTGGTTCGTCGCTTTCTCTCTCTAGGAATCGCTCTGTCTCTCTAAAACTCGGAACCTCTTCTCCATTGGCTCAAATCTGCCTAAAACCCCGATTCTGGGCGAAATACGGGCAGAATTACAGTCGTAATCTTGGTCTGCCCGTAAATCGCCCAAAACGCGTGTTTCACTTTACTCTGATGAGGGTGGAATTACGACCGTAATATATAGATTACCGCCAGTATTTACTCAATTACGGTCGTAATTTGTGGGACACTTGCCCGTAATTCCACTACCGAGAGGAATTCTGGGGAAATTAGGCTCGGCATTGCTTTTACGGGCATGCCTGGACCAATTACGCCCGTAATTTGCTCTGTGAATTGCCACCTGACCTCCAAATGACCCGAAACTTGCGCCTATGCACCTCTTTACTTGCTAGGACCTGAAATACGACAAAACAACACAACCTAGCGTAAAATAGGCCAAGGAACAATCAATTCGAGCTAAAATGGTCAGGAAACAAGAGTGAAAACATGTGCAAATACGACGCTATCAAATTCCCCACACTTAACCGTTTGCTTGTCCCCAAGCAAACCAAGTCAGATACAAGGTAAGCTCGAAAAATCTCAATCATGAACCCCTCGGGGACATATCACATAGGCACGAAACATGAGAATCACACCGGCTTTCAAACATCAACACATGAACAACTTCAACTGCAACCTGGACAACCACCACAGAGGACATTCGAGTGCAGCAAAATCGAGTAAAGGAGGAGTCTCCTTTCTGTTCACCAACCAACCTAGACTTGACTCAACCACTTACTCAAGACAGTCACCTCATGCACAAAACTCAAGATATCATAATTGAGACCGAGCAATATAGGTCCTCACCGGGGTATAGAGTATAGATAATATGAGAAAATGAATCGCTCACTCTCGACCAGTGGGGTCAGGACAATTTGATGTGAAAAATGCGCATGCTTATTCTCTCAATCCCTAACGTCTCTTCACCATGAAGGCAACCTCTAAATGTTAGAGTTCACATATAGGGTGTCACCACTAACTAATCCGGAGGTCTTAGACACAGGTTCAAATGACTGGTTAGGGTCTTGGACATGGGGAAAAGGCTTTTTAGGTGGTGGAAATATTCATAGCACAAGGTTCCACAGTTCCCAATCCAACACAATCACAACCAATCAAACCAGTATTTCCTTTCTGCCATTCTGCATTACTCAAATTCTCTAGAGCATAAGAGCGAAGGAGGTTATATAAATGTCAGCATTTCCAAGCCAGACTGCTAAGAAAAACTACTTAATGGGCACTATTCAGATTTTTGGTAGTGGCTCTCTTTCTCTTTCCTTTTTTCTTTGTTTTTCTTTCATTCAATTTTTTTCATTTCTTAAGAGAACCACCACCTCTACACATTTTTCAAACACATGCCCCATTTTGTAAGCACTACCTCCAACCCTCACATTATATTTAGCAGAAGCAACAGAAAACATGTAAAAACCACTCTGTGGAACCTTCTAAGAGATGCAAAAGGGTGATTTTTTTTCATTGTAGACCGAAAGAAAGGATAACACACGGCTCAAAGGGGCTGGCTAGGGGGTATGACACACTAGGACAGTCAATTTGGTCGTGGGCTAATCCTATGCCTCCATCATCCTAGCTAATGACAACGTGAATGCTGCACATCATGGAAGAGGGAACTATCACACAAGAAAGAAACGAGCAGGCTCAAATCTCACATGGCTACCTATATGCTCTATCTCTCATTCTGATTCCCTAAACTAGGTGCATAAACGACTTTCAAGAACAAGTGATCAATCCAAGTCACAGTTGGTAAGCAAACAGTTGAAAGACCGAACCCCTACACAATTCTACTGCACAACTCAGTCATCATTATAGGTTGTCCTAGTAACATTCAAGCTGTCATGCATT